TATATATTTTTTTCTTTATTATATGTTGGCGTTCGTTATTTATAACTTTGGTTCATCTCTCTTTCGCTCTTTTTCTGTTTTTCTCTGTCTCTTTCTTTTTCTCTTTCTCTTTTTTAATCGTTTTATCTATTTGTATATCTCCCTCTCTACTCCTCTCTCTTTATAGTTCCCTCTATCTTTTTGTCTATCTCCCTTTCCCTCTCCCTCTGTCAGGCGTCCAGGAAAGCGATGTTAATCTTGTAATAACTACGTTACTCTGTCACTGTTATTAACATTAGGGTCGTTACGTTACTTTCGTGACGTTTGTGATAATGTTATATTCAAGGAACGTTTATGTTGTCGATGCAGGCGTTAGTTATTTGTCGTTGTTATTAGTGCTAGTGTTCTTCGTAGTGGTAAAAATGGGAAAGTAAAATCATCAATCAGTTATTAGATATTAATTATCAGTCAACCATCAGTCATCGTCATAAATGATAAATATTTCCATCGTTTCACCTGAATTTTTGTTAGCAGAATAAAGTTTTTTTTGTTATTCTTTACTTCACTTTTTACTTCTTTCTTATTACTTGTTTCTCTCACATTTCTTCTTGCCTCTTTGAAATTTATCTACTTTATAAATGTATGGTTTTTGCTTATTCTAAAACTACTTCAGCTCCCCCAGCAACGCGCGATATGCACGTTTTCAATGATTTATTGGACAGTGAGTTGAATTCTATTTTATCTGCAAATTAGACATATCTAAGAGGCGGAAATGTAGATAGAAGATAGGCAGTAGAGAGAGGGACAGAGACACAGTCAGGGAGACAGAGAGAGGCAGAGGTAGATAGAGAGACAAAGATAAGGGGGAGAGGGGAGAAAGAAAGAGAAATATAAAAGGAGGTTAAATTAAGGCCGGTTTACACGGCGTTGCTTTTGACGCCGATTTAGCGTTCTCTCAGAGGGACTTTGCAGCTGATGAAGACGCAAGTGGTAAGCCGTTTACACGATGTTGATAAAAACTGAATTCGCTAGCGTTTCCGAGCAGTCTTAGGCGTCATGGCATCGCGGAAGTTTGTGCTACGTTGCCCTTTGTGCAAGGGTGCTCTAATGCTAACATGCGTATTTATGTTATAAAAAAAGCGTGTGGGTATGAAAGTGGGTAGGCGGGAGGCGGGCTCCTGGGGCCTCAGATAATCTCTTGAGGGAACTGGCATTGGAGGACCCAATTGCATACCCGCGAGAACTGAGGCTGACGTGCGAAAAAGCCGAAGAGCTGTGGATGAAGATACATCCTTCTGTACTAACCAAAACTGGACAATGAACCCTGCAGTAAATCACATTACCCTCACACACCGTCATCTGGTTATTAATTCGTATTGTAACGCTATACGCGAGCGGAAAAGTTGAAATGTTTAACATTAGCGCGGCAGCAAACAGATGCTGCGGATTCATAACTTTGGTCGGTAGCGAATAAAGAAATTTGTCCAAACCGAATAAAAGCTGCGCCGTGGAAACGACGCTTCAGGAAGAACGTTAGAAAAGATGAAAGTCTTCGAAGAGAAATAATCCAACGTAAGAAAAAAAGAAGGAAACGATAAACCGAAATAATGACATCGATAAGCCGGATTTTACGGCACAATTTTTTTTTTACGGAACAGATATCTTTGAAGATTACCTGTCACGGACCGATTCAGCTTAATGTTAGGCCTATGTCTTTGGGCAGCTGTTGCTTTATTTATTCTTTGTGTATCTGTGTTAGCGTGTTAATGTGACTTTTTTTACAGTTACCCGTTTGTGAAGCTAGTTTATGATCTCTGATTTTTTTTCGAAAATCTGTGATAGAAAAGTGAAAAAATAAGAGTAAGGAATATTTTTTTTTAAATAATAATAGAGAGAAAAAAAGTGAAAGAAAAGAGAGAAAATCAACATAAAACAAAGAGAAAGAAAAAAAATAAAAAGAAAAGAAAGACCGGACATAAGTCAAACCAAAGAAAGACAAAAGCAAGAAAAAGGTACCAAGATGGCGGCCATCTGATCGCCCGCAAGACCCGATGGTTTCCTTCAAGACTCACAACTCGAGGACCGGCGAGCCCTTGGGAGCCATGAAGCTGAAGGGCGAGAGGGAGCTGACGAAGGGCCACTCCGTCCACTTCGTCGACAGCCGCGGCCAGGAGCTCCTCTCGGCCTCGACCACGAAGGCCGAGGAGTACCCAGGCGCGAGTGACCTCCTGGACGACGAAGGGGACGAGAGGGACGTCCGTAGGAAGGCGCAGGAAATCGCCAAGGGACGCGGACGGAGGAGGGGCACGGAGTCCTCGTCGGCGTATCCTTCCCGGAGTCCCACGAAGGGCAAGAGAAGCCAGTCCCAGCCAGAGGTCCAAGGGGCGTGGGAACAGCCAGACACGCCCGCGGGGGAGTCTGTCGCCGAGGGCCACGAGAAGCTCTTCGTGAGGCGGAGGTCGATGGAGTCCCCCGAGGGCGAGAAGGACAGGAACAGCGCCGAATCCTCCAGGAGAGAAGG